AAATTATCCGAAAACTAAGATTAGCAGGGAAAGCCCAACGTAGAAGCAGTATTTTCTACTCATACAGACAGCTGTCAACCGTGTGTTTTCTCGCATAATTAGGCTTCGCTTCACGGTTGATTTAACGATTGTTTATAACCTGTCAAGGAAAAAGCATAGTTTTCGGACAATTTTACAGGTGTCTTAAAGCGATCTAGAGTGTTACTTTGTTAAATTATCATTTTATTTAGAAATGGCACGCAAGAATTCTCGGCGTGTCATTTCTCGCTTCTGACGTCACGAATCTAATATGGCTGCGGTGACTACCCAGGAGCCTTAAAATGCTGGAGACAGTTTGTGACTTTATTTTATTACAATAGAACTAAACAATATTGTTTTTACGATGATTTAATATTTGATTGTAATTCTTACTAAGAATGGCCGAAATGTTTGAATTATTTTAATTAGATTTATAATGAATAATTTTAGGCACCGAAATCGTGCACGGTTCCCACATCTTCAACACCGTTGGATTTAAATGTGCAACCGTCTTTTATTGTTCTTATTAAATTTATTGCTGTTATTAAGAATTTTAATTTTTATCAAAGAGAGCCTATGCGTCTCAGCGTTTAAAAATTTTTACCTTTTTTTAAAAAAATAAATCTAAAAAATGGAGATTAAAAGAGTATTCGTAATATTTATAAATATTACAAATCAATCAATTACAGAGAAAGCGATAAAACTTTTACCAAACTGCAGAGAATCTGAAACTGTGGTGGAAACATTTTTATGAATTGATTGATAGTTTTTACAAAATAATTAATAGTTTTTACATCCCTACAATCTCTAGTTCTTATTGCCTTTTCTGTCATTATTTATTTTTGAAGAGATACACTTTACAGCACTAACTAATTTGACACGAAACATTTCGATGATTATATTAGATTCAATCATTCAGTTTAGTTCACATGACAGTTTTCCATTGTTAATTACAATTTGCCCGAGAAGTGCGCAGCTATCAGCAAATGGTATGTCGGCTAATTCTGCCGTCTGTTCCTTGCGATTGTCCTAACGAGCAAACTCTAATAAGCGTTAGCGTTCTTGCTGAGGAGTTCTGAACACCGAACCCGTAGCCCGCCAGGAGATCTTGCCGTAGTCGCGGATTACCTTACCTCCGACTCCTAACGCCCGGTCTACGACCGCGAGAAGTCTTCTTATTACCGCGCGCCAACTTTCGCGAGAGCGGTCCGGGTTGGGAACCAAATCATATGTATATGGCGCCGCGCCTGAGAGGGAGGACTCCTGCGATGGCACTTGAAACGTTTTAGCGTCCCCTTTCGGTCCTCGTAGTTTTCGCGTGGATTAGTTTCGTGCAAGTGGAGCCTTAAGTTAAATTTAAAAACCGCTATTGTGAGAAAGGGGGAGGGGGGTTTTATCGCATCTCTTCTCGCCATAAACGCATTCGATGTAAAATTGCTTCTCATTATCCGCACTTTTATTATCACCGTATTCCACGTCCTCGTAATGTCTCTCGTTAAACGATTATCCTGTCGTAGCCGAGCGGGGCGTAGCATCGCGAAAGTGCGTTATATAAAAGATAACGCGATTCTTTCCTACGCGCGCGCTTCATCCTTTCGCTTTATATCGCAATGTTATTTACCGCTATAACGTTTACTTTTTTACCTCGCGCTCGCGCACGCTTGCGTCTCAAATATTGCCGGGTTAATGAGGCAGAAATTTTTCTTCGCGATCGGTATCGATCCAATTCATTCATCCGCGCACAATGCGGCCTCTCCTCCATCCTCGCTTATCTCGTCATCTGTTTTTATCGTGACGCTGATTCGCCGCGTTACCGCGTTCCTCTCTTCTCCCGTCCTCTCTGCCCCAATGTCATTATCCTCCTCTGCCGTCTCTCTTCTCCGTTACACTAGTCCGCTTATAGGAAACTACTTCATGCCGCGTAAGAGCATTTGCTCTCGAAAGCGATCTTTCCCATAAATCCTCTCATCTTATCCATCCCACTCGAAAGATGATGCGATCTACAAGGACTACGTTTCGCAATTAGGTCGCTAGCATGCAATAATTGAACGATTGTTCATGAAGATACGCGAATGTAAGACGATAAACGCGCGTTAAAATATCTAAAATAACAGTAATATATTCTGAATTGCACAAAATAAATCGTTATATAAAATTGTATTATAATGGAAAAGGACGTGAAAGGAATATTTGAAATTAATTTATTTTCCCAGGATGGGAATCTCTGATGGGAACAATTAGCAGGGAAATCAATACAGCACTTTGTTGTTTACTTCGTTTTTATTATAAAATATATTAATACGTAACATTTACATTGGATGAATACATATAATAATATGTACACAATCGTCGTTTACAAGGAAATGGTCGTGGATAACGAGAAGATCCGGATTTCGTGATAATGTGTTCTACATCGTAAATTACGTGCCGTACAGAGTGTATTACTGATTTTCGCAATCAGTTATAAAAATGACAACTCTCGCATGACCTCGTTAATTGTGTGTCGAACTGCACATCAAACAGCATTTATTTGCCTTCGCGAATGCATATACGCGCACTTTTATTTACACGCCCTAATTAAACGCATGTTTGTCACGCTTCTTTACATCTCACACGTGCGATTCACGGATCTCCAAACATTTTACATACATTCGACACTGCGAATGCAATTGATGAGCACCAACTGATTAATGTATTTTTCCAGATAAATCAACTTTACGTAACACGATTGATGCTGCGACATACAAAAGTTACACGGCAAATTTTGTCGATCGTTATAACATTATGAAATTAACGCTAAAAAAAGCACACTAAGTTCGCCAAATTCCAACATTTTTTCACGTTTATTTCTTCATAAATTTTTCATAATCTTAAAATACTAATTAATGAACCATTTTTCTTACTGTGTAAGAAATAATTAGGTACAATTAACAACTGAATAGCGTGAAATTTGATAAACCAAGCGTGCATTTAACAATTTATAAAAAGATGTATATATTTAAAATAATCATTGGCAGTAACAGGCCGAAAATGGATTATTGGCAACTTGAGAACCCTTTTTTGGCATATTTATTTAAAATATTGCTATCAGCGAAATACTATTATTACGTTCCAGCATAGCGTAACATATCATATTGTGCTTGTTTGATATCCTTTGAGGAAACAACTATCTTAGCCATTGACGCTGGAACGTATTGATTGTAACGACACGGCAGGATTCCGCGATGCAAAGCACGTTACACAACATACAACAAAGACTTATCGAAATTTAATACTCGTCAGAGAAGAACAGCAGAACAAAGATGTATACATTTAGCAAACGTCACATCTCATTATCGCTTAGCATTGAATTAAAAAGATCAGCTTGATGTTTTCATTATTTTGAATGGAATTTTTATATTACAAAACTATACGCGTTTAATATATAATGCTTTTAATATAATAATTCGAAACAATTCGTGCATGCACTGCTATTAATATCGAATGTTACGTTGCGCAACGTGTTTTCCCGTGGATGTTATGAAATAGTTTGATAATATGTACTATGATGTTGTTCGCTCGTTAATGCATTTTTGTACAAAACGATGGATATATAACAGCAATAATCTCTTTGCGGATTCCTATTTACATGTGCACTTTCACGGTGTACCGACTGAATTAGCGTGGTCCTTAATTCCTCCAACGTGAAATCTCGCTAGATAACAATACATATTCTTCCAGCGCTAGATAACGTTAATACAGTTAATACTTCGGTACACTGATTCGATACTACGATTGAGGATGAAAAATGTACATACAATGACATTCGGGAAGCACGATAGATTATGCCGTCATAATTTACCTCTTCCGTCGAATATATCGATCGTCGTTCGTCAAACTTGCAAGAAAAGGAACGTGAAACCATTTGTAAGAAATCCTTATTCTCGTTGTCGGATATTTTCTCCTCATTTATTTTTTTTTTTATCATAAATATATTTGTAGGTATTTTATATTTTTCTACTTTTTATATTGTGAGCTTAGAAATTATACATTACGCTAATTAACAATTATCTTGCTGAATTCTGCGAAGAGAACAAACAAACGATTGGCAACACGGTAGATAATTACTGATCAATTAATCGACTTCTTATTGTCGACACTGATAATCGTCTTACAGAGCTGCCGGCAATTCGATAGGATTAATCAATCTCGCGCTGATCATTCAGGCGCTCTGGAAACACCGTCAACCAATATCCCTCATTATTGGATCGCGCATCGAAAGTGTCAAATTAGCGGGAAAGCTTTACGCTGTTCGATCACAGCCACAAGCTAATCAAAGGGCGCGTCACGAGGATGCTCTTCACAGAGACGAATTAGCATGGCTCTTTCGATCTTGCATCAAAATAATTCAATTGTAATCATATGAATTAGCGGTAGGATAATTGAAAAATAAAAGTTCAATATTTTTTTATCGCTTTATAATTTGAAAAAAAAATCTAAAATTGTATTATTTTAAAATTTGTTTGAGAAAAGTATATTTTCTAAAACTCGACAGTAATTAATTTGATATTTTTCGAACAATTGAATCTTTATTATAGAAAGAATCGCGCGACGAAAAAGAATCGTGGAAAACCGTAATCGTCACGGTATAGAATGTCATGATTGCTTGGCTAGCCGTCGTAAATTGTTGTTTCGCGACCACGAGACTCATAACGGAAACTTCGGGAACAGTGGAAACATCGAAATCGTTTAAGTTATCGAAGTTTCTTTCCCGCCATAGAAATTGACGTTTCCCGGCGTACCGCGAGTCGCGTGTAATCGCGTTAACCGTTTTCACATTACCGGTCGCGACAGAGCGGGAGCAATAACCAGCCTCAGATCTGGCTATCGTCTGTATTTTTGCCGCGGCAAAAATGATATAAATGTATATTAAACGTAAAATTCTCGTAGACGTTGTGGTGAAACGTGGTCTGCCGTTATTCTCTTTTTTTTTTTTTTTTTATTCGCCGACGCGAGGAAGTAAAATAATGGCGCGAGGAAACGGTCTCAATGAAATCAAGCGATGAGAAGAAGAGTGAATAAACGGGCGCGGGAATTTTGCTCACGACTTTCTCGACCCTTTCGAAGGACAGCTAAGCAAGCCAAAACGGTTATAAAACGGTACGTTTATGGAGACGGCGAGATGGCCGCTCACTTGCTCCGCCCGGCCGCACGATAAGTACTCGTGAGACGAGCAAGCGAAAACACGTCGGACCACATCGGAGAAAGGAGGAACAATGGAGGCCGGAGACATTCCTCGTGCTCCCCGGAATCGTCTCTCTCGCCGACCTATCGTATCTCTCTCGCCGGTGAACCGATAGCTCAATTAGTCACGAGAACGAACTCGCTTTTCCGGCTATCTCTTTTCCCCACCGGCCGGCGGTTGGTGGTGTTGCCCGGTCGCAAGAGAAATGGCCAGGCGAGTCCTTAGGTTAGGAAGGAAGGCGGAAGTCGATAAGAGGCAAAGTGGAATCGGGGAAGCGGCGTGTGGAGGCACGCGGCGAAAAATGGAAGAGGAGAAAGAAGGGGAGGGGGGAATGAGGTACCAGGATGTCGGAGAATGCGCGCACGCGAACGGGGGTGGTTTTACCGCGAAAGTTTCTCGGGGGAATGGAACGTCCGTTCTACGAGTGGGCAAACCGACCAATCGATCGATGGATCCGGAACCGGCGGCTCGTTTCCTTCCCATTTTCTTCTTTTTTTTCCCTCTTTTTCTTTCTTTCTCCCCCGCTAAGTTTCGCTCGGGGGACTTGCGCGGCGGCGAAGCCTAAAGTTACAGCTCGAGAAAAACACGATGCAGTAGATTTAGTAGTAGCGAATCACGAGTTAACGAGCAAATCGAGTTAGGAGCTTGAGATACGGAAGTTACTAAAAGTCTTTGCCGGGAGATGAAGATATGACGCGTTGAAGTAGCAGATATTAGAGGAAAAGATTCAAGGACTAATTATACTAACTCTTGGCTCAAGCAAAGCTGTTGGCAAAATTATGCGACGTGACATTTGAATCGGAGTTTTTTTCTTATTTCGAAGTCCAGCGTATATTTATCAGGATTCTGTTAAAGCTGTGTAGTCCATTGATAAGTACTAAACTCAGACTGAAGTCCGCGAAGCGGTAACATGAAAAGCTTTCAGTAGTTTTATGACACTTTTGCCAGGCGTGCTTTAGACCGCGCTTGGGAAAACCACGCTGACGCACTCGGCGTGACTTCGTTTCGCGTCAATAACGGCTAACCGAGATATTTTCGGAATTTGCGACAATTTTCATGGTCTGCATATTTCGGGCGCACTGACGGAGAAAGAGAAAAAAAGAGAGCGAGAGATAGAGTGCGAAAACCGAAACAGTAACGGTATCACCGCGGATTCTTTTATTCACGGTGAAACGATTTTTATCAGGCGCGCAACAGTGGAGGAATCAGTGGCGAGTTCGTGATGTTGCGTGCAACAATACGCGTATCTATATGTGACTGCGTGTGTATGTGTGTGCGCGCGCGGCCAAAAAAAGCCCCGATTAATCCGATGCAAGAAGTAAGCGGTGCGTAGAGATCCCGAGCGTGCTTCGGTGTGTTTGTTCAGCTTGGGATTTTTATCCGGCCAATAGCGATGCCTTCACCGAATAACGCACGCCATCGTTTGTGCGCGCCATTCCGTCAGTGAAATTCAACCGTACCCACAATTGTGAATTTCACTGAGGCTACATACCTTGGTTACATACGCCGAATATTACGTTTTTTATATCGCGCAGACACAAACGCGGTCTATTTTTTACCAAAGAGTCGTACAGGGTAGTTCAATATTCGCGATTGTGTGCCATGTAGTGAGAGTCTGCGACCAAATTGGAGTCGCATTTCTTTCTTCAACGGAAACCCCGGAAGCGTTGATTGCTTTTTTTACATTTTTCAAGCGTTTTTTACTTTTTTTTTTACAAACAAATGAAAAACGAAGTGTTTCTCGCAAAGCACTGCAGTTACAAATGTTAATTATAAATGCCACGATTTTTAATTAAATTATCAATAGACGGGAATATTGTATGTCAGACCAGACAATATTTTTCTTTACTCTCAGCTCTGGTGGACTCAGTCCTTCGATTTTATCGTTTGTAAAAGAGAATAAAGTTGAAGACCTGCGGACGGTTTAGATAGAGGCCGCGATACAAATAAACTACTGCCCGCAGCTAGCCCAGCGCTCGAACCTCCTCTGATCCTTTTATCTTTTAATTACGTGGATTTTGCTACCTGCTAAATTTTCCGCCGCGCGTCCGGCTTAAACCCAATTTTCTCAACGTTTGCACGCGATTCAATATGGACAACAATTACTTGCTGTTTGATAGAGCACGATAAATCTCGCCCGCGTAATATAACAATTTTCTACTGTTTTACAAAGTTTTCGAGGAAAAAAATATTTTGTAAAAACAGCGCGGTAGATAAATGTGAAAAAATTTTTCTAAAGGTCCAGCCGATTTTCGTAAATTCGGATAAACTTTACGAGAAACAGTAAACCGATACGCTTCATTGAACCAATAAATTACTTCCGCGAAAGAAACGGCATTTTGAGGAGAGAATCCGAGACTAGGATAAATGTTGAGAGGCACGTGCAAATCTCCGGAGAGTCGGAGCGCTTCTGTGCGCCTTCCGCGCGATCGATATATCCGGAGAGGTTTTCGGTCGTGGAAAACAGTGATTCCCGATTCTTGAGAGGAGCGTGCAGCAGTCCACCTGGATGGCCGTGATCGTCACGGCGCATCTGAATGCGGCGGATTCCTCCCGTCGCGGGGGAGTGTCCTTCTCTCCATCCGGGTCCTTTTGTGCCGCCATGTATACGCCCGGCGAGTGGGGCTCCCCGTGCGAATTGAAAGTGCTGAAAGTCCCGCCGAGGCGAATTGCCAATTGCTTCGTCGCTTCTAGTCGGAGCTTACCTACGGTACCGAATTGGAAATACCGTGGCAGCTTCCGAACTGTCCGCCGCGAGACAAGACTATAGGATTCACTCTGGCGTGTGTATATACATACGTACATATACAGAGTCGCGCACTATATACAGAGACGCGGGATTTGCCTCGAGGGGATAGATACGCGTTAACATGCCAAACGTTTAATCAATCTTCCGGGATCCGTGGATTTTGGTTAACTATGAATTTCTAATTTTCGTTTATCTTGCAAATCTGCTCTCGCAGCGGGATACATTAATTAAGAAATTATTTAGAAGTTATTTCATCAGAGCTGCTTTAACTGCAGTTTACAAATTTCCGTTTTGGAAATCTGCTTTCGCAAGAAGCTATATTAAATTAATAATTGCTTAATTAGAAGAAATTATTTGATTAGAGATATTTTGCATCTTCGCAATATTCTGCAACTTAAGAAATACATTTAAAAAAAATAAAACACTTTTAAAGTTATCTATCAATTTCAAATTATTCTGAATCATACAGTTTCAGCTACACGAAGCTAGACTTTGGCTTCCTTTGCAGCACGTTACGGAAATCAATTCTTTTAAATTGCAATTTAATTATTTACAATCAATTAATCCTTTCAACCCATATCTATCCCTTTAATTATTTCACTCATAGATCAGTTCCGTCTGTAGACGCTTTGTGTGAGCGTGACACACAGCAGCCCATTTACAAAATACGTCTCGCCGGTTGTAACGTGAGGTCTGTCAACGTCAACGGGTTAGCCACGCAGCAAGCGCGTTAAACCATGCATTAAACCGATGCGAAATTGCGCAAAAATTTGCATTTGCGTCCGGATTGAAAAATATATGTAATACATACGCGGTCGTCACACTAGCACGCCGCAGCACGCATGAAAGCATTTTGCGTGGGCGCGCGAGATCCCGCACCCGCGCGTGAATGTATGAGGTGTTTATATGCGCGATGACACATGTACGTCTCGTTTCGCGCGGCGGCGGGCGACGTGGATGGACGACGGACGTCGGCGGTTGCATACTCACGCAGGGCGCGTGCACGCAACAGGCGCGATCAACAGACCGTGACGATGGAGAGCGTGGTCGTCTTCGGCGAGGCGTAGGCGTGAATCGACTGGGAGTATCTCGATTGTCAAATGCGCAACGGGTCCGTGTGCGGGTTCGTGGGCTTGTGCCGCGCTGCGCAGAAGCTCAGGCCGAAGCAGAGTATCAGCAGCACCACCGAGCCGAACAGCAAGTAACTCGACCAGGACATCGAGCACTTCCCTGAAACAGATGGCATCCGTCTGTCATCGACTCGACGACCCCTTTGCGAATCCCGGTGGGCGCGTCGCTACCCTCGAGAATTCCCCGGCAAATAGCTCGGCAGTCTAATCGTCGTGCCGTGGTTGAACGTAATCGTCGCCGTAATGGTTTAATCAGTGCGAAGTGGATTAATAAATCGAGATGGACAGATTTGGTCTATAATATCTCTAATGGAAGGAATAACAACTGCTAAAAGCTGCTTTTCGAAAAATTGCAAACAGAGAGAGAAAGAGAGAGAGAGAGAGAGAGAGAGAGAGAGAATTGCTCTTAAATAATGGAACAGCTAGATAGGAAGGAAATATAACGTCGTGATATTGCCACTTTTCTTCTCGATAATGATTAATTACCTTTATGTCAAAATAATAAATGTTTCCGCAATAGAAATAAACTGCAAAATGCGAATCAAGAGCAGGCGTTCTATTTAGAGAATAACAATATAAATGTGCGTAATAATACGTAACCGATACCGTCGCGTTGACGTTAAATGGAATACGCTACAATTTAGCGCAAAAATAATAGAAATGTTAATTGCAACAATTGGAAATACGCGCTGCAACGATCGGTTTGTACTGGCTTTGAATAATTTGAGCTACGCAATGATTTGATGCGCTCTCCACACTACGCTTGCAGCTCTGTCAAAATTTATAAATAAGTTCAATGTAGCCCGTAGGAGATATCGCTTAACCGACGAAACACGCTGTCGCAATATATATATATATATGCTGCGATCCTCCCGTCATCGCTTTGACGTCGGTTTGACCCATCAACCGATCTATTCCTGCAGCGCTCACCTGGGAACGCTTGTCACCTGTGCATCGAACAGCACGTTCGGATTATGCGTTCCAACTGAATATTCGATAACTCTTCAGTCATGTGGACGCAGACCGCACTCACACACAAAATGTTCACAAATTTCGGACTTTAATTTTATCGATAGTGGAAAAGAATTCGGAGATCATGACGAGAGAGAGAAGATTAAAAAATTACATCGTGTTGAATGAGTGCTTAATATATTAAATTTTATTAAAGCGATATTACAAAATTACATTCGTAGACAGGGTCGATCTGTTTTCAATTCAGTGATTCGAGACTGATTATTTTATTCTGCAAATTTCGATTTATAAACACAGTATTTAATACAGATATTACAATAATCCCTTTCAAATCAAATTTCCTTTTTTTTTTTTTTTTAATTTTGTAAAATGTTGCAAAGCAGACAATTTCCGTGAATGTTATAAAAATTTTTTACAATTAATTTTAAAAACGAATTAAAAAGTCTTAAATACGAGGTTATGATAGCCGACATGGGCAAATGTTTTCTCGTAATTCCATCACCACCGGACGCGGCTTTAGTGGCTGGCAGGTATGATTTTGCGTACGAGATACAGCGTATGCATTCACAATCATGTCAAGTTCGCAGCAAATCAATAACAATCCCCCGGGTATTGAAAGGCAAATCGCCGGATCGCTGATGTCGAATCAGATCGTTACGAGCACGGCGGGAAATTACGGGGAAATCAGGAACTAGCCGTCCGAGCGAGACGTGGATTGCGCACCCCGCGAAGTTACAAGAGCCATAAGTCTCGACTGGTTTAGTAAAGTCCCGGAATGGCTGCAGCTCGTTGAGTGCTCGGTAAAACGCTGCGGGAACTCGCTTGCGAAAATGCGGAAACTTCCAGTACCGATTCCAGTCAGTCGTCGCCGCCGTCGTCGCCGTCGTCGTCGTCGTCGTCGTTGTTGTCGTTACGTCTGTAAGAGTAATCACGTACAGACACACGTCCGTGAATTTCTCCACGCTGCATCGGAACGGCAATTTCTCGTTGAAGACGTCGTTAAACTAGGAAACGAGCAACTAAGGCGCAACTCCCCGCGCGCCCGCGCGATTCTGTCGTGCGTTAATTAGTTATCGAATTAAATCGATAACGCCGCATTCCGCCGGAATTGAGTTCCGGCACCATTTCGCTCCTATTCCGCCGTAACGCTCGGTATCGCATTGCCACGAGTCGATGAAAACGATGTGGAGAACGGGAGGTACTCACCGAGATTGTAAACGTTGGCACTCTTCCCGCAGGACTCGCGTACCTCCCGATTGTCCCAGCCTATTGGATACATGACGAGACCGCCGCTTATCATCACTGCTGTAACAAATAAAATGGCAAAATGGCATATCAATTATTCGTAAATCACTATGATTAAGTATAAACCGCTATTGCATTACATTTTTTCTACAGCAGTGGTAATATTCTTGAAATAACATTTTTATCGCAAAAATATGAGGAAAATGAAGGATATTTTTAAGTTAGAGAAGAACTGCTGCTTTTTACGTATAAAGCAGAAGAGCTCTAATAAATCTAGTTATGGACTTTGTGATTTTAACATTGTGTCAAATACGTTTTTCTCTTGAGAAATCAGGATTATGAGGTCCCCGACTTCACCTCGCATCGATCATGTCGCAGAGAGCCCGCGGGCGACTCTATCATTTTTCGAAAGCGATCCTCGAACGCGAAAGGGAACAAATCGAGAACAACGAACTAACTTGAAGCGCGTAAATGGAATACGTCAATGCTGGAAGAAGGATGACGTCATCGTGATATCTATTTTATTCGAGGACACTTCATTATTTTGCTGCGAAATGTATCTCATCGTTCGTTACGTTCGTCCTGCATCAATTTGACGAACGGACAGACAGTTATTTCTAAAAATACTCAACGGAGTTTAAATCATATCCGATTCAACGATGTGTGGAGAGTATTTTTCTCTTCGAAATAGGAGATAATATACTTATGATACGCTGACGACACGTATCGTTATCACTAAATTCAGCTATGAATTGTTAGAAATGTGCACATACTTATAACACTCACCAGCAAGCAATTGCAAGGAACCTAGAATCCTCGAGTGTTTCGGCGTCTTCAGGATGTGTGGGAGGAATGATGATGCAGCTGCCAAAAGCGTTAGTGCGCTAATCACTGCGATCGCGACGCCAATTCCCATCGTAACTGTACTCGCCTGCCACCAGGCACTTGGTATGTCCCAAAAGCTGCGCAACGAAACGTCACTCATCGATAATAAATTATTTAGAGTAATAATGATAAAAATTTCACATTTTATGTTTTTCGGAAAAAAAGATTATTTTTATTTGGAAAAAATAATCTTTTAGAATAAACAAACTTAAAATCGACAAAAATGAATATTTTTTGCAACCGAAATATATCAATATAGTTCAACTTGATGACTAAAAAACGTCGAATGTTTATTTTTCCGAGCGTTTTATTAATGTAATGGAACAATTCCAATGATGTTAAAACTCCAATCGGCGTGCAACGTGTTTATCGTAAATTTAATGGAATAAACTTTATTTATTACATTATTTACATATTTGCACTCTTTCTGCATTAATCAATAACAACGTCCGCAATTCATGCGACAAAATTAGCTCGGATTTATCGGCTAATGCCTCAAGCAAGACAGAAAAGCAAATATATTTTAATCTAATTATATTCCGGGAGCACGTTCAAACGTGAAATCATATTGCATTTTGCTATACGTAATGAATTAAAATTTTCACTGAAGAATTAAACTAAATTACGTTATTTTGCAGGATTTGTTGATTTGCTGGTATTTCGGATAAATACGAAAATTAGTAATATTATTATTCCATGCATTTGCACATTGCGCGATTTTCATATTAACCTTACGCTGCAGAGACTCAACTTGAGTTTCTTAATTTTAGGAATTTGTTCCGCTCGAATGAAATTTACTGGTGCAAAATACAATATAACGGAGCTATCTGCAACATGAACAATTACATCAGACGCAAATAAACTTTGTTTTACTGCAAGGATTCACAAACACTGAATATTCCAAAATAAAAGAATCAGCTCCCGTGAAATTGTCGATGCCGAAAAAACGAAAGAGTGATGCAAGAGGATATGGATGGTAACGAAACATGACTGTGCAGAATATTTTTCGTTCTATGCAAATATTTTTCGCGGCAGATATCGCCGTGTAAAATATCATATTATCTATTTTTGGCTTGCCGATGTTTTGACCCGTTAAATACTACCAAACACAATATTTTTCACCGTGTGTAGTCTGACGTAAAATATCGTACTGTTCGTTCTTTTGTTGCGAAAAAAATGATATATCAATCGTAGCAAACGCAGCAAAGTTAAACGGTTCTTTTTCCGTCATTACATTTTCCTTCTCTCTTCGTACATTTTTCAAAATTACTCCCTATTAATTATATTATGCTGATTTGTATAACTTTTCAGGTTTTGTATCATTAATTTGGAATAATGCTAACTGTCAAAAAAGAAATGTATTTAAATGTTAAATAATAATCGATAGAAATAGAAAATAGAATTACGCAATAACAATGTAGATTTCTAATTATTTCTTTGATTTAACAATCTGTTTAATATTAATCTTTTTATAAAGTTTGCGGAAAAAACAATCGATATCGATAAATTTCCGAACTGTAATAACTTTATACTGTGAGAAAGCTGTTTATCGGCCTATCGTGAACACGAATGGAACTATTGAAGCGCTTCGGTTTACAGAGAACAGTCCTGTAATTAGTACTTATTGTGGCTATACCGTTTATATTAGAGAGAGAGAGAGAGAGAGAGAGAGGAGGAGGAGAGAGAGAGAGAGAGAGAGAGAGAGAGAGAGAGAGAGAGAGAGAGAGAGAGAGAGAGAGAGAGAGAGAGAGAGAGAGAGAGAGAGAGAGAGAGAGAGAGAGAGAGAGAGAGAGAG